CAGTGGTCTGGGCAGAACTGGCGGAGGAAGCTTCCTGTTTTCTCAGAATACTCCCAGTCTCTTTGCTCCACCCCTACTTCCTGTCTGGCTTTCCCGCCTATACTGCCTGCCTGGCCAATCAGCGTTTTATTAAAATATGATTGACAGAATATAGACAATTCTCCCGCACTAGGCATTTGCCTCCCATCTTAGGGTTAAGGTTTCTATTGCTATGAAGCGACACCATGACCATGGCAACTCTTTTTTTTTTAATTATTTATTATGTATACAATATTCTGTCTGTGTGTATGTCTGCAGGCCAGAAGAGGGCACCAGACCTCATTACAGGTGGTTGTGAGCCACCATGTGGTTGCTGGGAATTGAACTCAGGACCTTTGGAAGAGCAGGCAATGCTCTTAACCACTGAGCCATCTCTCCAGCCCCCCATGGCAACTCTAATAAAGAAAACATTTCATTGGGGTGGCTTGCTGACAGTTTAGAAGTTCAGCGCATTGTCTTCATGGTGAAGAGCATGGCTGTGTGCAGGCATTTGTGGTGCTGAGTAGTAGCTGAGAGTCCTACGTTTTGCAGGCAACAGGAATTGGACTGAGACACTGGGCCGCGTCCTGAGCATAGGAAATCTCAAAGCCTGCCCCAACAGTGACACACTTCCTCCAATAAGGCCACACCCACTCCAACAAAGCCATGTCTCTTAATAGTGCCACTCCCTATGAGATTATAGAGGCCAATTCTATTCGAATCATCACACCTCCTTATCCTGGAGACCTGAATTTAATCTCCAGAACCCATGTAAAGTTAGAAGAAGAGAATCAATTTTACTAAGTTGTCCTCCACACATATGCCATGATATGCATGCATGTGCACATGGTACATACACATACAATAATTAATTTTTAGTAAATAGGCATGTCACAGAAAAAGATGTAGAAATGGTCCTTAACCTTGTAAGACCACAATCATCTCTGCTCAGTCAGAGATCTGCAAATTAAAACAGAAACATGTCTCAGCATATCACCACCAGCACAAATTCTTGACACCATACTGTGACAGCCAGACTTCTAAAATGTCCCACATTTTCCTTGGCCTTGTGCCCAAGGTTACATTAGGTTATACAGGAACAGCCGTGAGATTTTATGGGTCTAATTAAGGTCTTTCATCAGTAAATTGCTTTTAATCAGCAGGGAGGTTATTCTTGTGGCCCTGATTTAATCAATAGGATGCCTGTCAACAGTCTGGACTTTCCAGAGGCCAGAGTCACTCTCTTACTGGTCTTGAAGAAGCAAACTGCTGGGAACGACAGCCCTAAATCAATGAGTTTACAAAATGAATGAAACAAACAAAAATCTTCCAGTGACGCTTCCAGGAGCAACACAGGCTGCAATGCATTATCAGCCCTGAGACCCTGAGCACTGGCCCAGCTGAACAGTCCTCACATTCCTGGTGCAAAGGACAATAACCACACTCTGGTTAAGCCTGAAGGGTGGCGACAGTTTCCGTATAGCAACAGAACCGAAATGACTCCCTCTTGGTGAGGCTGAAACAAAACAGGTGTCTGTGCGTAGCTGGTAAGAGGCAAATGATTAGGAGTCCTGCGGAGCCACCTGGCTGGTGCAAGGATCCATTTCTGGAAATACAGTGCATCAGCGGCTGGCTTAGCAACTCTATTTCCAGGCATTTGCTCTGGAGAGAGCCCACCATTGGTAGAAAGCAGCCTGCATCCAGAGCTTTGCTACAGTGTTTGTCAGGTGTGGTGATAGGTTTGGTCAAGGCAGCTGAACTCTTTGGTGAAGTTAGAAGGGTCACCAGAGAAAGAAACAAAGTGCCTTTCCACCAGGGAGAGATCTGCCATAGATAAAGTGAGCATCGCCACTTCCCTGAGGGGATAAAGGCCAGCGGTACAGGAGTGGGTGTGAGCCACAGGAAGTGCTGTGGAGAGTGCGGCTGATGACGTAAGGGCAGTTGAGGTCAAGTTAGGATGAGGAGAAGGAGCTGGCTGAGAGAGCGCGGAAGGGTGATCCTCTGTGTGGAAGTTGGAAAGGGTAGGAGCAGAGGGCGCCAAGGCCTGGTCAGCTTTGGGAGGGGATTTGGCTTTTGCCAGGAGAACCTGGTGAACATAGCATGAGTTCCAGAGGGAAGGGTGAGAACGGAGAGCTGAGAAAGCCCACACATGCGTGGATTCAGACCCATGTGTGGCATTGTTTGTCAAGATGAATGAGGATTTGGGAGTCAAATGTACCAATTTTTGGCCACTGAGACTGACTGACAAGTTGGACTTGAGGCCAAGTCGTGTTGCGGTAAAACGAGACAGTAAGACTTAACGACATCGTTAAATCTGAGGGGAGACAGAAACACGAGCAGACAAGCAAGTGGAGGTGAGGGGTTAGGTTTTGAGTGGGAAGAGCCCATGGTCAAGAGTAAAAGAGGTAAAGCTGACCAAAAAGGAGATGTCCTGAAAGGGCAGTAGGAGACCTCCAGAAGGAGGATTAGTGTCAAAGGGAACAAAGAAGGATTAGAGTCCTGTTGACAAGAATTTCAATCAGGTCACCCCCAAGGGGACTGAGAGACTTATCAGAGAGAAATGTCCCAAACCACAGAGGACAGGCATCCCTTTCCTCCTGGTGGGGGCCATGTAGGGCAAGAGAACGTCCTGGCACACAGATGTGACTTTTTAGTTCTACAGAGACAAAGCAAGAAACTCTGGAGTGACATGAGCAAGCAGAGGTGAAAACAATTTAAGAGGTGGACTGGGAAAGGCTTTTGGGAAAAGGGTCACACACAGGGCTTCTGCCAGAGGGAGTGTTCTAATAGAAGGAGGGGTAAGTGTCTTAGAAGAGAGATGCCCGCGTGGTGGGCACCCAGGAGAGTGTAGCAGGCTCGAGCGGCCAGAGAGACTAAGAGGACACTTACTGAGTGGGCAAGGAGAGATGAACAGTGAGAGCAGGTGAAGGGAAGAAGGGTTAAAGAGGCTGTCTTAGTCGGTGTCCTGGAGCCATGAAGAGACACCGTGACCACTGCAACTTTTAGAAAATCAAATAAAGCATTGCCAGGTGGTGGTGGTCCATGCCTTTAATCCCCGCACTTGGGAGGCAGAGGCAGGCAGATCTCAGTGAATCTGAGGCCTGTCTGATCTGCAGAACAAATGCCAGGACATCCAGGACTGTTACACAGAGATGCCCTGTCTCAAAAAATATAATAATAATAACAATAATAATAAACATTTAATTGGGGTTTGCTTAGTTTCAAAGGTTCAGCCCATTATCATCACGGTCAGGAGCATGGTGGCATGCAAGCAGACAGGTACTAGAGAAGTGACTGAGATCAGGATCTGCAGGCAGCAGGAAGAGAGCCACACTGGGCCAGGAATGGTCTTTTGAAACCTCAAAGTCCATCCAGTGACACACCTTCCTCCAACAAGGCCACAACTACTCCAACAAGGCCAGACCTCCAAACCCTTTTAAATACTGCCTCTCCCAGATGACTAAGCATTCAAACACGGGAGCCTATGGGAGCCATTCTTACTTAAATCACAACAGAAGTGGAATTTGGTGGGTGGCAGAAGCCAATGTGGGCAAGTGATCTGCACCAAAAGGGCAAAAATCAGCAATTTGGTCCAATTAGGAGAGGCAGACCACCTTGGAAGGGGTCTCATACATGCCTTTCCCAGGTTTTGGCACCAGATGAATACAAGGGATGCAGAAATAACTGCTCCATGGGTGAAAGGGCGAATTTTTTATTTCAGATGCGAAGGCTGTCTCTCAGGGAAAGCAAAAAGAAGCACCAGGGTTCTAAGGGAATGGGTACTGGAAGAAAAGAAGCCTGTGAGCCAGGGCGGGAGGCTTTGAAGTGTGTAATGAGTACTTGTGAGTGGGAGCTGAAGGAGCCTAGAGGTTAGCAGAGACTCCAATTATGCTGATAGGCACCACAGGCATATGCTAATGAGATCCACGTGCTCCTTTTGTTAAAAAATGAGGAGGATGACTCCTTCTGGCAAGTAAGAACTAGCTTGCCAACTCCCTGAGGGAACATAGCTTTTGTCAAGTTCCAGAATTCGGGAAAAGGAGTTTTGTTGTAGGACATTTGTCATTAAAATATGATCGACAGAATACAGATAATTCTCCCACACCATTTCCCTCTTTTTTTTTAAAAAAAAAAAACAAAGGAAAATACCCATAGTCCATTTTTTGGGACTGTTGGCGTAGTATTTCAGGCTACTTCCTGCTGGTTGGGGGCCCTGATGATCTTATGGGGACCTAAAGAAAATTTAGAGTTATAATCAAGTCCTGACTGGAGTATCCTGTGAGTCTTGATCATCTCAGGCAGCATTTTGAATCTGTTCTGGATGTAGAACTCAGACATCTGGGCCATCTATTCCTGTCGGAGATTTTTCAGGTGGCCTCCCTTGGTCAAAGGTGATTTTTCTTAACTCTGAATAAATCCAGAGCCTCTCGTTTTCTGTGAAAGAAAAAGCAAAATCTCTTCTCCAAAGTAGCATACCTTTTGACTTCAATTTTGAAGCAAAGGTATTTTCAAAATATCTATCTTGGATTAATTCAGCACTGGGAGGCAGAGGCAGGCAGATCTCTGTGAGTTCAAGGCCAACCTGGTCTACAGAGTGAGTTTCAGGACAGGCTCCAAAGCTACAGAGAGACCCTGTCTGGAAAAACAAAACAAAACAAAACAAACAAACAAACAAACAGAAAGAAAGAAAGAAAGGAAAAAATTCAGATTATAAAATCCCTTCTCCTAAAAGGCGTCCATATATGATTTTTAAAATTCTTTTGTAAGAAACATATATGAGTCAGTTGGTGGTAATGTACAACTTAGCACTCAGGAAGCAGAGGTAGACAGATCTTGGAGTTCAAGGCCAGCCTGGTCTCCAGCACAACAAGGGCTACACAAGGAAATCCTGTCTCAACAAACCAAAAAGAATAAACAAACAAACAAACAAATAAATAAATAGAATTTAAAAGGCATGTAAATATTTATATGTATTTACTTTTAAGGGGAATATTGAATGTAGTCCCCCACTACCACAAATTGTATAGTCAAGTTTCCTGCATTGGGAAAATCTCAGGGGTCAGCACAACCAGAGTGTAATGGATAAGCCTTGCCCTAGGAAAACCATCTTCATGATCACAGCATCTTCCCTGCCAGGTAAGAGCAAACATCATCAAAAGGCAGACTATGAGATGCCTCCATGGGTAAAGTCTTTGCCAAGAAGCCCGATGGCCCAAGTTCCTAACCCAGAAGCCGTGAAAAGGTAAAAAGAGAGAACTCACTCCACAAAGTTGTCTGACCTCCTTGTGTACACATGCTCCTCTGGAGTAATAGTAAATAAAACATTTTTATTTTATTTTATTATTATTTTATTATTTGATTTTTCAAGACAGGGTTTCTAAAAAATCTTCTTCGTAAGAAGTCAAGTTAGAAAATAATAGAACTAGAAAATGTGACTTGGGGGGGTGGAAGCAGATGGTACAGGAGGCTGGATAAAAACGGAACTGAGAATTCTGAAAACACAGTTGACTTACTAAACAATAGGGCTAGCAAGATGGCTCAGCTGTCACACCTGACAACCTGAGTTCTATCCCTGGGATCCACATGGTGGAAGGAAAGAAGTATACACATGTGCTATGACACAAATTCCCTCCCCCCCACACACAAAATAACTCAGTAAAAACATAATACCACTTTGAAAATCTCTGTCACTGGTAGCCCATAGTGCAGTGGTTGACATATTTAGGAAGAAAAGTAACATTTTTCCAAAAAAAAAAAAAAAAAAAAAAGGAAGGAGAAAAGAAATTCCCACTGACCTCCTAAATTGTAAAGAGCAAACCATAATTCTTCAAAAATTGTTTGGATTCAGTTTCAAAATGTCCATCATCGGGGCGAGAGAATGAGCTCATCCGTTAAGAACTCACACTGCTCAGTTAAGAACTCAGTGGGTCTCGGTTCCCAGCACCTACGTTAGGTGGCTCACAGTTACCTGAAACTCTACTCCAGGAGATCTGATACCCTCTTCTGGATTCAGTGCATATGTGCATTCACAAAAACAGACATGAACATATACACACATAATTTTCTTTTTTACCTGTTTGTTGTTGTTTTGAGACAGGCCTCACTATGTAGTCTGGAACTTAGGACTTGCAATGTGGGCAGACTGGCCTCAAACTAACACAAAACTGCCTGCTTCTGCCTCCTGAACTCTGGGATTAAAGGGCTGCACTACCGTGCCTGTAAAAAAGGTAAAATCTCTAAAAAGTCTTTATAAATTTATTCCCAATTTAATAACATAATCCCAATACTTCCTCCTGCCCACTAGGTGGCAATGTTCTCTAAATTAACAGTAGGGCTCGCATCTGAAAGCCTTTTGAGTTTTTCTCATATGCCAACCAAACTCAACTTTTGTTCATAGTTATGCACTATTCTTTCAAAAACAATGTTATGCAGTGTCTCAGTATGTAGTCCAGGCTGGCCGCAAATTCCCTAGGCAGCCTGTTTTGGCTTTCACCTCATATCCTCCTGCTTCTGCCCCCTATGTGCTAGGATTTCAGACATGCACCACCACAACCAGCTTGTTCTTTAGAACTTTAATAATAAAGATGAATGCACCCTGTCTCCCTACTCATGAACTATATTAAAATAAACGGGATAACTGGAGTGGAAGGGGTGGACAGAGGCCATCTAGGCTTCTTGTCTCCCTCCAAACAGAATAAGGTTTCTGTAGCATTTTTTTTTCTTGGCTTGAGAAACATTAACATTTCTCAGGTATCTATTTCAATGTTTACCGCGAAGTCAAGGTGTTTCATTTTATCCCTTTCATAAGCAAACAAATTCTGAGTAACAATCGTGTGCCAGGTATGTGAGTCGGGAGACAATTCTGCTGACCTCCATGGGTGGACTGGGTATCACCTGGCTGTCACCTTCTGAGGAAGGAAAAATTTGCTGTGAATCCAGTTGGCACTTAACACAGCTTAGAATCATTTGGGAAGAGAGATTCAAAGAGGATTGCCCAGATGAGGGTGGCCTACGGGCATGTCGGGGGGAGGGGAGGGGGGAATTAACTGTTGTAAAACTCAGCCTGAAAGTGGGTAGTACCATTCTGATGTGGGAGTCCCCTCTGTTTGCTGGCAAAGCAGAATAGAGCTGGGTGGGGAGAGCTAAACTAAATGCAGGGAGAAAGGAGGTGGAGTCAGAGAAATACCTCTCAGCTGTTGAAGGTAAACCATACTCAGAACCATCAGGAAACTCCTTGAGGGGCCTCTCATAGGTCAAATGTGGTCCAGTCATCATAGTCATCATTCCCAGTCACCGTGGAGGACACGCCTCCCCGGGAAAATTAGAAACTCCAGTGCTTGTTATATTAAAAAAAAAAAAAAAAAAAAGGAAGGAAAGAAGAAAAAAAACCCATACTGCTCTGGATGATAAAATAAACATATAGGATGAACCAAAAATTCCAGCAAAAGAGAAGAAACATATATTTTGGCAGACTTCTATAAATGATCAAGGAACAAAACTGAGAGTACTAATTGAAGGAATATGGACACATTCACTTTGGTAGACTTCAATGTAGGACAGTTCATGACAAGCACATCTGCCCTTACTCCCCCAGAGGCCATCAGCTTCCAAGCTAATGCTTAAATCATTTTTAACTAAGATTTTTATCATGTTGATCTCTGGCTCATTCCACATCATCTTCAGCCAAGCTTTGAGCATTTACAATGCTCTGACTAATGGTTGGAAGCTTGGTCAGAAGCGTCTGGAACCCTGGTGGTGGAAGGGTCTGCTGTAACACTCCCAGCAGCTCTGAGGCTGTCCACACACAGGGATTGCATTTGTCAGGTTGTCTACACCGTTCTCATACTCACCTTGTGCTAATAACGCTTCATCAAGATGTGTCTCTTCAAGAAAGAATCTCTGAACAGCTTCAGCATCTTTTAAGTCAGGCACCTTGGAAAGTCCAGTTCTCTCTTTAGCAAGCTTCTGATCCTTTCTTCGATTTTAAAGTTGGGGTCCTTTTTTTTTTTGCGGTCAAAGTAGATGGTGTACCCGATGAAGAGGGCACCGCCACACACCCGTGTCAATGGCACCCTTTTTTTGGGTACCAGACTATTTAAGAACAGAGGTAGATGAATACGAAGAATGCATGTGTTTATTTGTCTCTGCTGGTGACTGTGGATATGATGTGACTAACAACCTGAAGTTCCTGTTTTGACATGTCTGCTCTGAGAAACTGTAACCTGGAATTGGGAACTAAAGTAAGGCCTTCCTCCGCTAAGCTGGTTTTAGGGTGTTTACCACAGCAGCAGAAATGCAACGAGAGCCATGTTTACTCTGCTCTTCTCAGCTCAACTAGAGAGCCTACTTTGTAACTAAGAAACAAAGGCCTCGCAGGCAGTGGTGGCCCATGCCTTTAATCCCAGCACTGGAAGGCAGGGGCAGACAGACAGCTCTCTGTGAGTTAGAGGCCAGTCTGGTCTACAAGAACTATTACACTCTGCAGGCATCACAATCCCTGACTTCAAACTCTACTACAGAGCTTCAGTACCGAAAACAGCCTGGTATTGATATAAGAACAGACAAGAGGACCAATGGAACCGAATAGAAGACCCGGATATCAATCCACATATCTTCGAACACCTGATATTTGATAAAGAAACAAAGAATATCAAATGGAAAAATGAAAGCATATTTAACAAGTGGTGTTGGCATAACTGTATATCAACATGTAGAAAAATGAAAACAGACCCATATCTATCACCATGCACAAAACTCAAATCCAAATGGATCAAAGACCTCAACATAAAGCCAGCCACACTGAACCTTATAGAAGAGAAAGTGGGAAGTACACTTGAACGCTTTGGCACAGGGAACCACTTCCTAAATATAACCCCAGCAGCACAGACACTGAGAGAAACAATTAATAAATGGGACCTCCTGAAACTGAAAAGCTTCTGTAAAGCAAAGGACACGGTCAACAAGACAAAATAGGAAAAGATCTTCACTAACCCCACATCAGACAGAGGTCTGATCTCCAAAATATACAAAGAACTCAAGAAATTGGACACCAAAAGATCACATAATCCAATACAAAATGGAGTACAGACCTAAATAGAGAACTCACCACAGAGGAATCTAAAATGGCTGAAAGACACTTAAGGAAATGCTCGACATCCTTTGTCATCAGAGAAATGCAAATCAAAACAACTTTGAGATTCCATCTTACACCTGTCAGAATGGCAAAGATCAAAAACACTGATGACAACTTATGCTGGAGAGGTTGTGGGGAAAAGGGAACACTTCTGCATTGCTGGTGGGAATGCAAGCTGGTACAACCCCTTTGAATGTCAGTGTGATGATTTCTCAGAAAATTAGGAAACAACCTTCCTCAAGACCCAGTAATACCACTTTTGGGTATATATCCAAAGGATGCTCGATCATGCCACAAGGACATGTGCTCAACTATATTCATAGCAGCTTTGTTTGTCATAGCCAGAACCTGGAAACAACCTAAATGCCCCTTGATCGAAGAATGGATAAGAAAAATGTAGTACATTTATACAATGGAGTACTACACAGCAGAAAAAATAACGTCAGCTTGAATTTTGCAGGAAAATGGATAGAGCTAGAAAACATCATTTTGAGTGAGGTAACCCAGACACAGAAAGACAATTATCACATGTACTCACACATAGATGGTTTTTAAACATAAAGCAAAGAAAACCAGCCTACAAATCACAATCCAGAGAACTAAGGCAACAATGAGGACACTAAGAGAGACTTACATAGATATAATCTACATGGGAATTAGAAAGTAGAAAAAGACAAGATCTCCTGAGTAAATTGGGAGCATGGGGACCTTGGGGGAAGACTGAAGAGGGAAGGGGAGAGTCAGGGAGGGAAGCAGAGAAAAATGTAGAGCTTAATAAATATCAATAAAATAAAATAAAAAAGAACTAGTTACAGAACAGGCTCCAAAGCTACAGAGAAACCCTGTTTTGAAAAACAAAACAAAAACAAACAGAAAGAAAGAAAGAAAGAAAGAAAGAAAGAAAGAAAGAAAGAAAGAAAGAAAGAAAGAAAGAAAGCGGG